GCCCAAACTGGATAATATTACACAATGATAGCCCCCTAGGGTCTTTACAAGTGATATCACAGCCAACTCCTGACCCCGTGTGGGGCCACAACAAGGGCGTTGTGCCTGTAAGGGATGGAGAATGTGACGACCTAGACCTTAGGCGACGGGCGAAGGATGAGGGATGGCAGGGGCGGCTGCGCCTGTACCCTAAATATGCGCGGGGTGAGGCTAAGCGCATGTGTTTTGTCCCATATCGCCAAGGAGGGGAGTCCTGGGCTGGTTGATAAGGCTTGGGTTCTTTACTCTGTATAACGTGTTTTAAAGCCATGAGGGCTAGTAGATCCAAAGTGGACAATATTACACAGTGGTAGCCCCGAGTCCTTACATCAATCCTCCATCTTTCTCTCTTTTTCCTTCTTTGTTCCGAATGAAGCCCTTTCTCTCTCGGCCAGCCTTCTTTTTGTCCCTAACCAATGTCTGCTTTGTCTTGGACCAAGGGCTGTACGTGCTTGACATCCTCCCCTCGATGCCACTCGATGTCCTCCTCAGCATCATGCCGTTTCGCTTCTTTCTCCCTTCTCTCTCTTGTCGTTTCCTTTCGTGTCATTTTTCTGTGAACAACGTGAAGGGGGGCGGCGGGCCTGGCTGGGCGCTAGGCCTAATGTCTCGGGCAAGCCCGGCCAAGTGGCCTAGAGCCTGAGCGCTGGGCCGAGTGTCCAGGGCACACGCAGGCCTAAGTGGAAAAATAAAGAAAAATTAAAAAAAAAAAGAGGGTTCGGGTTTGATATAAAAATAAAAGGGAGATAGAATGGGGATCGGGGTTGCTGGGCTGAGGAGGGTTGGCCTTTTCTCTAATTTTTTTAATAATATTTTTTTAATTAATTTTTTTTAAAAAATTTATTGCCTAATAATTTTATCTCTCCTAATTTAGCCCATTTACCATTTAAGCGCCGATTTAACGAGGTGGGCAAAATTATGTATCAACACCAGTCCCGTCACCCACCAAGCCGACTCCGTCGACCATTTCGAGCTGACATCGTCGGACCACCCGTCACCAGCACAGAACAAATACTTTCCTCAAAATAAAGAGAGACAAATGGAAGAAAACTTCTACGGGCGTCAATGTATGGTTGGCCACTGAGGCGACTCCAATGGCTACCAGGCCAGCTTCGTCGCCCACCAAGCTGGCTTTATTGACCGTTTCAAGCCGACGTTGCCGGACCGCTCGTCACTAGCACAGAACAAATACTTTCCTCAAAACTAAGAGAGACAAATGAGGGAAAACTTCTACGAGTGTCAATGTATGGCCGGCGACTCCAATGGCTACCAGGTTGGCCCCGTCACCCACCAAGCCACTCCGTCGACCGTTTCAAGCCGACGTTGCTGGACCGCCCGTCACCAGCACAGAACAGATTCTTTCCTCAAAACTAAGAGAGACAGATAGGAGAAAACTTCTACAAGCGTTCATGTATGGCTGGCCACCAAGGCGACTCCGATGTCGCCATGGAGCAAACAAAATTCAAGTCGAAATAGAGCAAAGCTAGGGGTTCGGCTTACCTTTTTTCTTCCTTTTCCGACGGTCTTCACCGTCTGTTTTCCTTGCTTGAACTCCCTATCCCTCTCCACACTCACCAGTCTTTCTCTTCCTTGCTCGGCAACCTCTCCATATTGTCGTGTGTTTGTCCTTTTTAGGATAAAAACTTGAACGGGATATTTTATCTGGTGTGCCCTCTCATTTTCCTACCCGGTGGGATTGCGCATCGAAGCCGTCCTTTCCACCATCTTGGTATATAAGGGAAAATGGAGGATGTGGTCTCGCGAGCCCCTTGTCACGGACATGTGTCCCATTGCTTCCTACACCATCTCCCTCTCTCTCTCCATCAATTATTAATTGCACACTTACCTCCCTCTCCTCCGCTTCAAACTTCCCTCCCTCTCCTCTGTCCACTTGCATTTCGTACACTTCTAACATAGTTCCGTACACTTATGCATTTATTTTGCGGAAAATTAATTGATAAAGGAAATTTAATACGAATAGTTTTTCTTTATTTAATGATACATAATTGAAATCGTTTTCTAATGTTTGGATTTCATTGGAAAATGATTTCAATCTTATGACTTTATTTCAGGCAAATGAAAAATTTCGAATTTTGAATAATTTTTTATTATTTTAAAATGTTCAAATTTGTAATTATTTTTTCTTTTCTTTTATAAAAAATTGATTTTTGTAATTTAATTTTTTCACTTTTCTTTTTTCTTTTATTTCCTTTTCTTTTTCCTCCTTCCTCCACCGCAACCGGCCGGCGACGGCCATAGGCGAGCTCGAGCTCGCTGGCCTTAGGCGAGGTCAAGGCGCGAGCTCGAAGGCCAGGTCGCGAGGCGGCGAGGTCCAGCCTTGCCTGATCCTGGCGAGACTCGAGCTCAACCCTGCCACAGCAAGTCTAGCTCGCTAGGATCTGGCGAGCTCGACCTCGCCTCAAGCCAATCGTTGGCGGCTCGTGCTTGTGGCCGGTCGCCGGCAGTTGCAAAGGCCGGCGACCAGCGGAGGGAGGAAGAAGGAAAAATAAAAGAAAAGAAAAGAAAAAAGAAAAAAAAGAAAGAAAAACAAAAAAAGAAAGGAAAATATGAAATATTAACAAATTCAAGATGAACAATTCTAGAAAGTATTTTCACCTTCTTAGATTATAGAATTCATTTTCCTAATTTTAAACGTGAATGTTTTCCTTAACCAGAAAGCGTTTTCGGTTGACTTATCATTTTCGGCGAACCAAACGGGTGAAAATCGGAAAAATAATTTCCCTGAAACAAACACACCCTGAGATATTAATGACACTAATATAATTTTTTGCTCAAGAGATAAGTTTTACGAAGATCTCGAATCACAAAATTTTCTAACTTTAACCATTGGGAAAATTCAGGTGTCAACAAGTACCATTCCAGATTTCATATTTCAAATTTTAAAAATCAAGAATAGCCCATAAAGTACTGAAATCTTCTTTTTACTATGTCAGAGTGCCCGAATCAAACAATGAATTATCTCATGTTAATTGCTAAGCTAGAAAATGATTTTTTCAAATCAAACCCTTTATTCAAAATCGAATTTTGGAAAAACAACTCCATAAATTGAAAACATTCCACGGATTTTCCATCAGAGAATGGTCATCTTCCCATTGAATCCAAACACATTTATTTTATTTTTTTTGGTCAGAAATCCAAACACAATTCATTCATCTCTAAAACCACCAAAAAAGGAAGAAGGATTAACATTGCCGCATATCTCAACTTCAGATCTCAATCTCACCAAATACAATCCAGAGAGAGAGAGGCTTCTCGTCGCTGGTAGGCGCAGGAGCAGGAGCAGGAGCAGAAGCGAGGGATTGAGCCAGGCGGCGGGCAACACAATGGCGATGACGAGGGCTGCAATGGCGACCATCACTCTATGGGAGAACCTATACACCTCCATCTCTTCTCGCTCAATCTAGTCGAGACACTTGTAAAACGAAAAACAAAGAATCGCAAAATACTGGGCAAGAAAGGAGATCTTAGCTCGGTCTCTCTCTGAGACGCCTCACGCAAAATAAGCACCCTCGCGAGTGTGACGCAAAGAGAGAAACAGAGAAGGGAAGATTTCGCAAGGATTCTTTCTGTAACATGAGAGAGAAGTTGAAAGGGACGCAGAGAGAGAGAGAAAGAGATGAAGAGGGAGATGAGCAGCGGCAAAGCAGGAAATGGCGGTGGGGGCGATGGCAAATCAAATCAATGAAATGGCAGAGGGAGAGTTAAGCGCGTCGTAAGACCGCGAGTGGCAAACTAGTTGAAGAAGAAGATGTGAGTCACAGAGGGAGAGAGGGGAAGGTGATAGCGAGCCAGCCTTTGCAAATGAAACCCATTTAAGATCCATTTATTTTAGCCTTTAGAATTCATTTATGGATTGGCTGTGAAATTTTAGGCGACCTATATATAACCTATTCAAATGAATATGGGTTAACAAATGAGTTTTCGACCCATTTTGACAGGTTCATTCAGTAGCAATAATAGAAAAATTAAAAGAGAGATAGAAAAATTAAAAGAGAGAGAGAGAAGAAGCGCTTAATTCCAATTTTTGCATGGGGAAACAATTTGAGGTTGAACTAATGTGATTATCTCTCTTTAATTCGGATCATGCCGATTTTAAGATGATGTGGTAGATAATATGGGTTGAGAGGTCTTGGACTAATCCAGCAACTTTAGAGGAAGATTTCTATATTTACAACTGGTAAAGAATTTAAGACAATGCAAGAGAAAGACTAAAGCATTCTATGATTAGTTGAAAGGGAAATGTTGAACACGGTCAGATTGTGTGGTGACTAGGGGTGTCAATGGGTCGGGTCGGATTTTCATGATACCCGACCCGATCCGAAACAATGAATATATGTGCTTGGCCCGACCCGAAACAAGATCCGAATATGATATAGCCGCACAATCGGATCGTGTTCGGGTCGGATTCGTGTTTAGAGGTTTACTAATCATTTCTTGCAGTCAATTCATTTTATCAATAACTTTATCAGCCCCTTGTTTTGCTCAAAATCTTCATGTTGTCCCATAGCTTCGTTAGTGCTTGTGCAGATACCTTGAAGCAGAAAATATTATGATGCACTCAAAGTGCCAGAAGCCGATACAGAAGACCAGGTTTGATCTAGAAAGATTACAGTAGCATAAACAAGTTACAATTACAAGGTGATGCTCATTAGGCAAGCAACAGCCAACTGTTTTTAACATTAATTATCTGGAAATGGATGTGAATGGTGGCACCCAATCAACTCTTCAAGCAATACAGAGCAAGTACAATAGAAAATATGCACAAACTAAGTGTTGGATTATATTGTAAGTAAAGCTGCCGAAGGATGTAATGAAAAAGGAACCAACTGGACCTCATCCGTGGACTATGAAGGGCAGAGTCTAGTAAGCTGTGGAGAATGCCCAAGCCTATAATATTCTAGATAGCAAATGCCTCATCATAACTACGACCACCAAGATCATTCGCAAAATAACCAAGCCACGGATCTTAAAAGGTTTGAGATGTCTTAATTACACAGAGGAGCTTTATTGTAGTATTCAAAACATTAGATCCCAAATGTTGACTGTGACAAACAAGAGCACTAATTCCACAAAAGCAAGCTCTAGGTTATGTTCATTCTTCTGTAGAACTCTCCAACAAAGACTAGTAGACCCCCAGTTTCAATGAAGTATAAACAAATTTTGTTCATCGATGAGTCAGTCAGCTGCTCATCCAGAGTTGCCCATGAAAAAGTCTGTCTAAATGAACAATTTCCAGCAGTTGCTCCCTTTTCGCCCCCTCAGCAATAGTTTCACATGCTGATCCTTCACCAGAATACTCGTGATCAGCCCTTAAAAAGGACAACGTAAAAGCTTTACTGTGATGATTGTTCGCGGAAAGCTTCCTCTAACAGCACTTACTGCAAGTAAGAAATGAAGAAGACAACAATTGCTAAATGCCTAATCTGAATATGAAAAAGTAAATTTGCAATAAGAATAAAAAAAATTGGTTTAGCAAGTACCAATTTCCAACTTCGTCAATCATCAAGAGAAATCGATATCGAGTTCGGCTCCATAATTGTAGTTGAACACGCTGCATTAAATTCACAATCAAAATGAGAACTTAAGTATCCATTGTAATATAGAAAAGAATAAATATTCCACAATTATGTTTTCTGACCTGACTCAAAATTTTCTTGTTCTTCTAAGTCATCCTCAATTGAAAGTGAAAGTGGAGAGGATCGTAGCCAATCTTGAGCACATATAAGACCCTCCACCATTCTTGGGGTCAAGGAGCTACAAAAGATATCAAGTACACGACCTCCTGTGCTGAATACAGTCTCTGATGCTACAATCGAAACGGGCACGACCAAAATATCTCGAGCAATGGAAGAGAGGATAGGATATCTCGAAGAATTAACTTTCCACCAAGTTAAGATATCAAAGTCGGGGCTATAACGTTCACATCCTTCCTCCAAATATTTATCCAATTCAGATTTTTCTTCCAAAATTTGTTGTCCCGTTTGGCTAAGATACTTTGCAGTTATAAAGTCCGCACCAACCACGGGAGACTTTGACACATTTACTGTCCTTGTACTCTTTAATCTCAAGTTGCCTTGGGGGCATTTACCAGTGCGGTATTGCTCGTACAATGATGTTAGCGATGATGTTACTTTATCACGTAAAATTTCTGCTTGCTTGCTCTCATAAACATTATTAATCAACCATTTCACATATTTTCACTTATGTCGAGGGTCAAGTATACAAGCAATGAACAAATTAAGATTGATGTTGTTCACATTGCCATAATACTTATTGAATTTGGTCTTCATTCTTTTAGCCATTTCCTACAAACTTTTATCCTCATTCTCACAATATTCATTAATCATCCCAAAAAGCCCATAGACATCCTTTGCCAAATCATTACTAGTGACATAAGAAGAACCCGAAACTTTTGAAGTCGTATCGAAGAACAACTTCAGGAAAGGAAGAAGGTGACAAGCATAATCCCAATCATCACTAGTAGGCAACCCTTTCGCCTTGGACATTTCTTCAACAAATTTGCTATCTTGAATTTCCAATAAGAAAAAAGCTTTTTGAAACTTCAAAGCCGCCTCCAGCATCATATATGTCGAGTTCCAATGAGTCTCCACATCCAACATACAAGACTCTTGGACTCAATATTCTCAAGTTCAACACAATCCTTAAACCGCCTCAACCTCCCAGGAGAAGACCTCACATAACTTATAGCCGAACGTATTCTAACAATGGAATCATTTATGTCTTTTAACCCCTCTCTCACAATCAAACTCAATATATGAGCAAAACACCTCATGTAGAGTAACTCACCTCTCAATACCAGAGTGTTCCAAGAATAAAGTCTTCTTTTCAAGTATTAAATTCCCAAATCATTTGAACTTGCATTATCCACGGTAATGGAAAAAATACTTTGAATCCCCCAACCAGTCAAACATTTCTCAACCGCCTTTCCTATTATCTTGGCAAAATGACCCGGGATTTGACAAAAAATTAGGATTTTCTTCTGTAACTTCCAATCAGCGTCAACAAAATGAGCAATGAGAGACATATAAGTCAAATTTTGACAAGAGGTCCATGTGTCGGGTCGTCAAACAAACTCTAGGACATGTGTCGGCAAAATATTTCATCAATTTCTTCTTTCCTCCACGTATAACGCATAACAATCACTCCTCAACGTGTTATGCGTAGGGATTGAGAACTTTGGCTGGATTCTATACACAAATCGCCGAAAATCCTCATTTTCTACAAACTTAAAGGACAATTCACCAAGAATGAACATAGTCGCTAGTTCTTTTCTACTAGCATCTTGGTCAAATTTCCATGGTGAACTACCAACCCCGACAGGTTGACCCGAGGCAATTTTTTGCCTTTTCTCGATGTTTGCATATGGATATTCCTTACATCTATCTAAATGATGATGCATTGAACTAGTCCCTTGAATACTAGAACAACCAATGTGGACCCCGCAATATAAACATTCAGCTTTTTCTTGATTTTTGTCTGTACATGGAATCCTTTTAAAGTGATCCCACATAACGGATCTCTTCCTTCTATTTGTGAGGCTAGAATCCGTCGACGAAGACATCTAGCAATCAGCAAAAATAATTAACATTCCAGAATCAACAAAAACCATCATTGCCATAGAAAGTTGACATAGTAAAGTAAAGTCTATCTCAAAAGCAAGCATGAACAGCTTTGTCATATACAAGAAGTGACTCAGAAAGCTATCAAGAATGCAATTTTTTGCAGAGGTCTGTTACATGCTAATTATGCCACAAATAAATATACCAATTCAAGTAACTCAATTCCAAGATATATCACCAAAATGCAGCCAACTAAAGATTGAACATAGAAGAATAAAGAAGAAAACACATATAAAAGCTCCAACATTTCAAGAGCCATAGTAGTTACCAGCTTGAACTTAGATTCTGCAATTGGCTTTTCTTTAACTGGGAAGAGATCGGGGTGCGACTCCCACACCTTCTTCTTGAAAGCCGATTTAACCTACAACAAATACATAGCAGAACAGATTCTAAGATCAGACAAACCTAAGTCTACTCGAAATCTGTTTGGATTGGCTAATCTACAACAAACCTGACACGTGTTAGTCCAAATTAGAGTTAATCTACTGGAAATATATCTGGATTGGCTAACCTAAGTCTACAGTAAGTATTGCAACCATCAGATTCCAAGATCAGCCAAATACATAGCAGAACAGATTTCCCACCAGTGATTCCCAAATTTCGATTATTTTGCAATTTGGGTCACTGAACTTTGATTGCAACAACCCAAAGCACAAAACTTTTAACTTTTTGTAGTTGAATTGATGCACTTTGACCATGGTAAAAATTGCCACATAACAGGCCACGTTAGTTTTTTGCTGGACATTTGGTTAGAAAATGGACAGAGTGCATCAATTGCAAAGAAATTCAGTGATCCAATTGCAAGATTCATCAAAGTTTAAAGACCACCTGTGAAAATTATCCTAGAAACAATGCCACAACTCACCCAACTGATGTCAAAAGATGCATGACTTTCATAACCAAGATGAGGACAATACAGAAACATGCAAAAAAGTAGAACTTATAGACGACAAATAATGTCCCCTGGCTACTTCCATCCCAAATGGTGGTGTTTACAAAGTGTCGAAGATAAGAATTATGACTCATGAATGCATCACAATACCGACTGTTGTAAGTGCTAAAAGGTGTATTATTAGACACAAATGAGGCTATGAGTAGATGTGCTGCATCTGCTACTCCCACTACCTCAGTGACTCAAAAGTTGACAAGACATAGAGACATCCTTCATGAGTTTACCCAGGTTTCCTTTGTTTTATGCTCTTCCAATTCCAACGTTGTTGAAAATATACTATATCATCACATTGGTGAGCATTACATGCCATAAGAGATGTGATGAGTGTGACTAAGATATACTACAAACTTGGACCAGGTGGTAGACCTTATTGCTTTCTGACAGTAACATCCAACTTGGATTGCTCCCTGATTTAGGACTTAAACACCTCCTTCTCAATGAATGAAGTAGCAAATGCATCACATCCGAATCCTGTGAAAGCACAACTTTGTGCAAAACCAAAACAGATTTTACCAATGAATGAAGTCCCTGATGGCTAAATCGGAAAAACCCAAAGAAAACCTAAGCACCGAGCAATCGCACCACGCCAATATTAAGAGAACAAGCATCAATTGGCAAGAAACATGGAATCTCTTGCCAATTCCTCAAAAGTCACACCTAGAACTCAATAAATCTCTGCATACGAAAGCGCGAGCAAATACAAAACCCCTATTCGTTCCTCGTCAACAACCCTATGGTAAGCGAGCAGAAATTTATATCAAAAGGCTCGGTGAAAATGCTTCCACCTTCTTCAACCTAGATTCAAAATCTTCCTCGTCTCGCCACTGAAACTAGCTCAGAAACTAGATAGAATCGCAGAGCAAATCAGCCGCATTTGCCCCAGCAAGATTTGCCCCTGATCACGAGCCCAGAGTCCCCCCTCAACGCTCTCTTGGATGTCTTCTTGTAGCTGCACGCGACCGAACAACACAACATCCAAATCCTCCTCTCCCCGAAGCCCTAATTCACTCCCAACACCCCCACTCGAATTCTCGCTCCCAGTTCCGCGAAGCAGAAAGAACCTCCCCTCCCCCGCAATCCACCGCCACTGAAGCGGAGCACAAAGCTAGCCCCTCCTACACGAGCGCATGCAAAGGACAAGGGAACTTGAAGCACCTTTGACAGCTTCTTCTCACCTGAATCGAATTCAGACACCCAACACACCCAGAAGAGAGTCAATCCAACACACCCAAGCACCATGCTGTTGAAGAAGCAGGAACACCGCAGATTCAAAGCTCGTCGGGGATTAATTAAAAGACGGCGATGCTCACCGGAAGAGAGAAATCGTCACTTGTGGGTGGGGCCGGGGGCAGCGGGTCAAGAGGGTCAATCGTCAAGGAGCTTCCGGAGGCGAGACTTGATGAAGTTGCCGCGAGCTTTGGCGCGGGCTTGCTGAGAAGCGATGTTGGCGTAGGAGAGGTGGATGCCGGCCGCAATCAGGGTGGCGTCGGCGGCGAAGACGCCGATCGTCGCCGCCAGTTGCCTCCGCATCTCACTACTCAATCGACAGTTGCAGATCCGGAGCTCTGGAAGAAGATGATAGGGTTTTGGGTGGGCTTGGGAGCAAGAAGATCAAATGGTTCTTGTTTGTTTCTGGTGGGCTTGTTTCGGGCAAGCTCGAGTAGATCCAAAACAAGCTGAAGCCTTGTTTCTACTGTTACCCAAACAAGTTAAGATCCAACCCGACCCAATACAAAAATTTTATGTTTGGGTTGGATCGGGTTGAGTCATGTTTCAGCGGGTTCTTTTGACACCCCTAGTAGTGACTGCAGATGCTTGTCACTTTCTCCTATGAAATCTCTTAAACAATATTATATTTCAAACTAAATTGAGAAAGAGCAAGCGAGCTAGTCTTAGCACTAGCAGTGATTCCCGCCTGAGGTCGGCGAGGGCTAGCCAGTGACCCTTGCCTGACCCTCGCCAGACTTAGAAGGAAAAAAAAAATAAAAAAAGAGAAAAAGAAAATAAAAAAATTCAGAATATTTTTTTAAAATTATAGAAATTGATCATGAGATTTGTATTGTATGAAAGGGTTTTAGCATTATAATTTTTTAAAAATTTTATAAGAAACAAGTTTACCTAGATTTGGTTAAATATGGAAGTGTTTTAACAATATGGGTCAGATATGGATCGAGAAATTTGCATTGCAACAAGAGGGTCATAAACGGGTTAAATGGGTCAATTTGGGTCGAGCCATTTATGACCCGACCCAAACCCAACCTGACTTACCCATTTGACGGGTCTCTTCCTGAAACCTAATCAATCGGTTTCAGGTTGGTTCTAGATAAAACTGGGAACCGTCCCTTCTGCATTTGCTGGAGAATCCCATCCAACCTCAACGATTTTATGAATTGTTTGAAAAGGACACCCATGGAATTCGGTAACAGCCGATAATTTATCAATTAATGCCTTGACTTTCATGTGGCTTGTATTGTGTAAATTACCTTGTCATGCAAAAGAGAGATTACCAAGATGAATTTATGTAAAACAGAGGGAATGGAACCTAGCGAGAAAATTTGATAAAGCTGCTCTTTATAAGAATTTGATCTTCCACATGTTTTTGTCTCGTATTAGATAGTCCTCGAAAGTTTTTTGGTAACTGACATTTGTATTCGTAGCAAGAGGACTATTTTCGGCCATTGCTCAAAAGTTAGCCCCGGTTGCCAAATTCCATGAATTGGAATGCTTGTTTGGGAGGTCTCCGTAATGCTAGTATCTCACATTTTCCAACCATCACGTAGTTCCAATTTGTTTTTTGTAAACAAATTGTCAAGTAGTTGTTCGTGCGTTAGTTTTGTCTCAGCGAAGAGGCATGTTGGAGAGACATCATTCTAGCTTTGTGGCTTTTCGCTCCTTACATATATGCATGTCCAGATATTGAACGACCAAATGCATAGACGTGACTTTATGCCACTTGAACAAAAAAATCTCGATTCCATGGACATGTTCTCCAAATTGACAGACGCTCTGATAGTCACCATCATCTCCTTCTCACCCTTTAAAGAAGCCGCAAGAACGAGTGTACTCCGGTGATGGGGTTGCATTTGGCATTCAACGGTGAACATTGAGTTCGACGAGAGGTTTTTTGTTAGGGACGATGCACCCGTTGAGACTCAATGTGACTCGATTTCATCAATTTCGTTCATCAATTTCATCATCTCCTTCTAAATGAATACACCACCGAACTCATCCTGCGAAGGTTCAAGCTCTGTATATCGAAGCCTCGCGAGTTCGAACCCGACATGCAAAACTGCATTTCATTTTGCCGTTTCCTGTAATGTTGGAGCGCTTGAACTGGACTTCTCCAATCCGACGTGGGATGAGAACGATATGGAGAATCACGAGCCGGAGTTTGATCTACCCATGCAGGTTTATGAAAATGGCACGCCAGGTCTTGAGTCGTTGACGCTGTTTGCATGCAGCTTCAACCCGGCCTGGTTGATGAATCTGAAATTGCTTAAGCACGTTTCGTTTGGTTGGATCACAGTGAGAATGTCCACCCTGAATGACCTATTGATGAATTGTTCGTTCTTGGAGAGTTTGAGGTTGAAAAAATGTTGGAATCTCGAGCATCTGAGCATTTTCGAGAGGGATTTGGCGCTGAAGACATTGGTGGTTGATAATTGCAATTTCTATCACCAGTGGTTTGGGATTGAGGCACCAAACTTGAGGTTTTTCAAGTATTCAGGGTCTGTAGGGATCTTTGATTTGATTTTGACATTTGGAAGAGGCTGAACTTGACTTTGGATCCGAGTCGGAGTTCGATGAATCTGGTGGCGATCTTCTTCACAGACTTCTATCATCCTTGGACTGCGCTAGGGTTTTGAAAGTTGTAGTTTCATGCTTCAGGTATGCGTATCTTATGTTTCTTGTACTTTCAGGGTTTACTTGAAATGAATCCTCCATCTGCTTCATGTGATTATTATTTCTTTCGGCCACTTGGTGACATAATCTGCAAGGATTCACATGGTTGTTTATCTTTGTACAGTGTTCCCGTAAGTAAATAAAACATCGTGGAACTTATCTTTAGCAAAAAATCCCTGTTAGTTTTATAATCGCATTTACATGCTTTTTTAAGTACAATTTGAAAATTGTCCTCTTTTAACATTTCTCATTATTTAATTTCTTATCTGTTACAAACAATTTTTTATTATTGCGAGACATGTTCGTGTAATAACGATATGATCATATGTTCATCAAGTTGTTTCAACTGGGATGGAGCCCTTGAAAATGTAATCGCCTCTTAATGTGCGGCATCTTATTTTGAACACTGCAGTGCACCGGAATGAGTTTTGGGGATTGCTTTCTTCCTCAAGAGTTGTCCTTTTCTTGAAACCCTAACCCTCCAAATGAGCCCTCCAAGAATTTTTCCTGTATGTGTACACATTACCCTTGCATATTTCATTCAAAGAAAACAAGCCTTACATAAGGTATTTGTGTTGGCACATTAGATATTTTGCATTGGATTTCTTTCCATACGTATTGGTTAATGTTATGTTGGAGTGATTCATGATCCTTTTTCTCTCTTCTGATAAACTATCACAATTCGACAATGTGATGGTAAATAACTTTCAAATTCATAACATGAAATATCGACATAAATATTTGACATTTTATCAACTTTCTTCGGGATTATCAACCATCGTTCAAGTTCGATCCAAGCAGATTTTGGTCCAGCGATATAGATAGGCTTTACAAGTGCGTCATCCGGACGTTGAAGATGGTAGAGGTGAAGGGTTTTCGAGGGACTGTCAACGAAAATAATCTGTTGAGGTATTTGTTTTATTATGGACGTGCCATGCAAGAACTCAAACTGTATCTCTCCAATGAAGTCGATGGTCATGGTGGTGATCGTTCGATTTACTTACAAAGGGCTGTGTTTGTGATGGGCTTCCCTAGAGCGTCACCAAATGTTCATGTAATGATAATTTAGCGTGAATTTGGCCTTTGTATGTGGCGACTGATCAACAAGACTAGTAAGACTATTGTGTGTTTCCATGCGGGTTTGTTGTGTTTTATTTGTTTGATTTTGGTTTTTTTTTTGTTTGTATCTTCGTAGACATCCAAGAATAATGCATTAAGACATATACATATTCCTGTTATATTTGAATACATTGGCGTATATATTTTGCATTACGTTTGTACAATATTTCGTGTGAGTGCATAGAAAACTATGTTAGAATACCTAAACTTGTCAATCTTATATAATACTTACATGTATTGATTGCTACTATCACAATATTGTTGTAAATTGCCCTTGTACTATCTTTTGGGATGCACGTTCTTCCCATGATCTATCACCTCTACATGCATAGTAAAAATTTTCGATATTGGAAATTGCCCTTTTATTATCTTTTGTGAAGAGTTTAACCATAAATAATGTCTTAACCATCCTATATCAAATAAGTGGAAAATTCCTTAAACTATGAAACATAACTCTGCCATGATGTGATGTGTTTCCAATGCCAATAAAAAAGTATATAGGAATTGAGTATGGATGATTGACTATACCTTCGGTTGTTGAGACATATCATTATGTCTGAAAGATGGCCGAGTGGTTCAAGGCGTGACATTGGAGCGGCTATGTAATCTTTTTGTTTACCGAGGATTCGAATCCCTCTCTTTCCGTACCTTTAAGTAATTTACCATTGTTACTAACCACAATGTATTAAAAATAACAACGCATACCCCAATTCCAAATTAAAACTTTCTTTGATATGTATTCTCTATCTCCATGTCCCCACTCGAGAATTCTGGTTTGTAGAAATAAAATAACTTCTCGCTTTTTACTTGTCCTTGAATCAGCCCATTATAGGTTAGTGACAACTTCTGAATAATAACTTATGTCCATAATTAATTGAGGAAACGATTTGCGATCGATAGGATTCGGGTGAACCCTAGTCAAGCATAAGTGTCATCTTGCAAGAGAAATCACCTGTGTTCCCTTAGTAATCCATTAACTCGCCTCACAGGAGGCATTTAGCATTTTACCCATAGTGAGGGTCGCGTTAATTGTACTTCCCTATAATAAATATCGAAACTCCAATATCCAATTTAAGCAATCATGAAATAATTAGTTTTTTTTTTATACATCTTCAGTAACTTTTCATATGAAGAAGTAAGTTTCCGTATAGGCCGAGAGGTAAGTTTGCAATAATCGTTAGTAACTTTCAGGATCAAGAAAATAAGTTTTCTCGTATAAAAGATTAGTATATTTGCTGGGGAGTTCGGTAGTTTCACGACTTAAATAGAATTTAAAAATCTA